CTGGGCATTATGCTTACTGATGGGTTTTTCTTCTTTCCCCAGTTTGCAATGAATCCATTTTATGAACTCAATACTCCTATTCGATCCACTGCCTTTGAAAGGAAAGTCCAGTTCCTTGGGAAGAAACACCTTTTAAGCTGAATAAATAAATCTCCTGAGTGAGTGCTTTTTCCCTGCCTTCCTGGTTGTTTGAACTGTACTTCGTCTGGTTAGTCCCCTGCATGTTTTATATTCATCTTCTGAAGGCTGACTAACTGGATGCTGAAGCAGCTTTTTCTTTTGCTGATATAGATAAGAAAAGCCAAGCTTCTCTAGCTAAAAAAAGGTGTATCTCAAGAAGTTTCCTTTTATGTGATATGAAAATAAAGTTCTAAACTGTCAGAGGCTGCAGAGGTTCAAAGGAAGAAAGTGAGTCATTATATATTAATGCATATGCAAAGTGTAAGCCTCTGACACAGGGTAGGAGGAAATCAGACCTAAATGCAAAAGATGTTCACCAGTCACCTGGTTTAATATGAGCAAAAGGAAATTCTTGACTGTTTGGCCTAAGTGCTTAATTTTATAATAAACTTTCCTAGTTGTATTCCTTCAGTAGAGAGTTCACGCTGCAGACTAACCAGACTAATATTACATTCTGTGGTAGTAAATCAAGCCTCTATTTATTGATGTGTAATTGTATGTATATAAAGTGCTCAATAAAAAATAGAAAAATCAGAAAAGCTGTCTCCAGTACGTCAAGAAATTCTGAGGAAAACCCCTAAAGTTTAAAAGTGTCTAATTTCAAATTTTCTGTGTATTTAGTGCAATAGACATTTAGCTGCAGTGTTGCATTAATGAATGTCAGGGCAGATCTGGCTCTGCCCTGACATTAATTCTAACTCACACATGAAAACAACCCAAACTGAATTTACATGTTTAAACCCACTGTTTTTCCCCAATATTTCTTCAACTGCTGAAACTTTCTTTTTGTAATTAAATTTAGAGGAGGATCTTTGCACCATGAAACTGCATTTGATGAGGCTTCAGAAAGGCATCATTTGGCCTGTCTGGCTCCTACTCCATTGTAAAATGTTTTAGGAACCATTTTGCAAAGCTTAACATCATTCCAAACCAGTAACTTTTGAATAGATCATTTGTCATATATGTACCTAATACTTTGCTTGGGTTTACAATATTAAGTATTCTGTTTCTTATTGCAGCCAATCTGTATAAGCTATCTTTTACTTTTTTTTTCAATGTCTGAAAAGTAATTTCCAAAGGAAGTGACATTCTATTCTAAGAAATATTTTGCATAGTCTGTATAATCAAGGGGACCACATCTGTATGTGCTGTAAGTGTACAGTCAGTCATTATTTCTGCATTTACTGCTAAACTGTCATTGTAAAAGGTTCCATAAGAAAAAAAGAACATATTTACCTTAAATAAAACATGAAATGTTGTAGTATGGATGCCTGTTGAGTATACTTGAAGTGATTTAGAAGAAAACTAGATAACCACAGTAACATATCTGGTGGGGTGGCCACTGAAGATGGGAATACCTGTCTTTGCAATGTTTTTGCATATAAACTGCATTGTACAGCACTTTGATAGTCATGTAATTTTATATAAATCAATTTTTTTTCTGTGTACATGGAAATAACAAACACACTTGAGGTAAAACATTCTTGATCATGTGATAAGGAGCCACTGAGATGCAGTTATTTTCTGCCTCCTCCCCTGTAGCATGATGGCTGGAAAAATACTAACCGTTAAGATTCACTGAGGAAGTACTTTAATTAACCATATACTTAGCAGGAAGAAAAGGCTTGACAAATATGAAGGATTAGTGCTAACAGTTTCTACCACTTTTAGAAGCTACGTTGTTTTATAATTGCATTTGCTGCTGCAGTAGGACATTAAGTAAAATGAAAGCATTTTCTTTCTTGCCCGATTTCTGAAGGCAGTCAAATGGTGCCTGTTCTTATGCCTCCCCATCTTTCCCTCTTTCCACTGAATGTTGGAATTTTAGATGGGAAATGCAGACTCAGGTCCACCCAGGCTTTATGAAAACAGACTGTTACTGGCCACAAGAATGGAAGAATTATGTCTTAACTCATCACCTTTGTCCTAGAGTTTGTGGTTCAGGAGCATTGTCTTGTGACAGAACTCCAAGGGCCTTGGCGAGGTAGCTCCAAGTTCTCTGTACATGGACAAACACTTGTTTGTGCTTTAGTTTGTGAGTCTTCTCAGTCGGCTGAAAGACCAGTAGCTGAAGTGATGGGTGAAAATTACCTTGTGGTCAGCTCAAGTCACAAATCTGCTCTGAAGGCTGCACTTCCAGCATGCTTCAGTGAACAGTTTCTCAGTGAAAAGACACCTTTGCAAGAATTATGTTTCTATCCTCTCAGGGGATTAAGAGTAAGAATTCAAAATAAAGTCTGTTGCAGTATAAGAAAACAGAGGTAATCTGCATTATGCAATAAAGGCAATAAAAAGTTTATGAGTTGAAGGGACTAGAATTACCCTAAGTCATTCAAAAATCAAGCATAAGGCTATGAGACCATTAGCACAAGCTAACATGAATCAACCTTAGTAAATCTGGGCTGGAAATGCAACTCAGACTCCACTTTCTGCAAGGTTCCATTACTGTTTAGGTAACCTGTCAGGTGACTTAAAGTAAGATCCATTTGAGGTATGGAGCAGCTGTTAAAGCAGCTTATGTAAGCATTGGTACAGTTTGTTGTGACACGAGCTGTCAGCTGGCCTAAGTAGCTGCTTCTGCCCCTTCCCATTCTGCTCTCTAACAAGCACAGCTTTCAGCAGTCCCACCAACCTGCCACAGCAGTAGGTTTTACACTGGAACTTTGCATGCATCTTACACAGTATGCTCTGTCAATCTACATACTGCTAACAAGGCCCTGAAATATCTGAGGTGTGTTAGCTCTTGAAACAAATCAGTGAATTGAAACATAAGCCACAAATGCCTACCTTACATCCATATGGAATGATACCTACTACTTTTACAAAGTACAGAAATTAATGTCTGTTATTAAGCATTATGATTTTATACCTGTCACTTATAACTGCTTGTCAAAAGATTTTTGATTCTGTAGGCACTCAGTAAGTTCTCTGTGAGATCAGTTCCTGACCTAAATCTAATTCCTATAGTGTCTTATTTACTACAGCATGTACACACCTCTTTATCTTTACTGGCCACTTTTGTGATGTGTACAGTTGTGGTACAGCAGCTCCCAGGGCACGAGTAATACACTTCTATGGGACTATGTTTTAACTTTATTAAACCTACTTCTGAGATGGATGCTTGGTAACCATGATGTGAAATGGAAAGGGGACAGATGGGAAAACACAGATGCCTGCACAGAAGAAAGACCACAGTGGTTCTCATCCTTCATTCTTCCCTTTTAGCAATCTTACCTGAATGGTAACTATAGTACTCTAGTCCCAGCGTCTTCAGCTCCTGTTTTGTTTCAACCTTAATCTCTGCTAAAATGAATGTTAAGGAAGCTTTAATTACTAAAGTAGTGGTTTTACAACAATTCATGTCACTAGCTTAGTAGCCCCTAACACAAGTAATCTTAATTTCTAAAGCTTTTTGCTCTCTCATCCTAAGATTAAGAGGGATTTAGCTAAGATTTTCTTCACAGATCCTTTCACTCATTGACTAGTAATTAAACATAAGTAGCAGTTCAGCCTATTCTTAACTGCTCAGGGACTGAAGTTTAAAACACAGTTCTGTTGGTGTAGATGCAGGACTGCAAGAATAAATCAGGCTTAGGAATGCATAAAAGATAAAAAGATGGAAGTTTTAAGCAGGAGTAGCAGATCTGCAGACTAAAGTTGTCCTGGACAGGTTCAAGCAAGAATAAAATACATTCAGAAAAGCGTACTAAGAGCAACAAGAAGGGTTTGTTTTTGCAAGCTTTACTTCCAAATAATTACACCTGGTACAGATTGATCAGATAGTTTTAAGATAAAGTGCTTGCTGGTAATATACTCTCAAGAAAGGCTTTTCCATTGAAACAGAAACGTTTCTGTACAGAAAGCAGTTGTTTAATGAATAACATGGCCTGTCCTGCAGCATCAGACTTCCTCTCTCAGACCACATGCACATGTGTGCCTGTTAGCAGTCAATTACAGATGGAAGCAATTGCTACTGCACTAGCAATTTTGCTATTGCAAGGACAGTGGTTACTCTGAGAGCCAATAACCATTTATTATACAAGTATTCTACCACTTAAACTGCAGCTGAAAGCCTCAAAAACACCTGTAGTTTTGTCTGCCTGACTGCAAAAAAACTGTCCAACAAATACAGAATTTGCTCTGGTTCATAATTATGAAATTAATTCAATAATATAAAAGACATTATCTCTTAAAGGTACAAGTCCATATCCTAAAATAGCAATTTTAATAATGATCAAATTCAGCTCAAATACTATCTATAGTTATATACCTGTATTAGGGCTGAAAGCTGTCAAATCTACTGAAAGTCAAGAGCTTCCTGAGTTCTCCACGTATTGCCAATCCTTAATATCACAGTGCAGATATGACTGGTAAACACATTCATAGCTCAGGTTTACAGGAACAAGAAGTTTGGAACTTCTAAGGCTGTACACAAGTTTTCCTAAAAAATTCTCACAATGTGGATCCTTTCAAGTGCTATTAAAGCTGACTGAATAAAGCATTTCTTTTTCAAAAAATGGTTATAGTTCAGTTACTCAGATTTTTCACCCTATTGATCAGAAACGTGCTAGAATGGACTTAAGGCAAGGACACACATTAATTTTAAAACTCATTAGCATTTTACATTAAACCACTGGAAAAATTAGTGCAGCATCAGAATAGTATGGGGGAAAAAATGGACATTAAATATGTAGGAAATTTACTTCCTACTTACAAACCTACACAAATTACAGCAACATTAGGCAATTAGAAGACGTGGATGGAATTTATATTTTATAATAACCACATTAGAGATGAAGTACCACTGACAGCAAAAGGAATGTAGTGAGACTGAAGTTTAATATCTAGCATTGTTAAGAAACTGACATCTAATGAAACAAAAGTGGAATGCTGATTTCATAAAAATATACACATATAAAAGTATCTTTGTGCCTGAATTCCAGAACACCTTCTCCAAAGTAGTGCTTCTAGAACTTTCAAGTTTTAATTATATTCAAAGTATTTATCATTTGAATAAAGTTGGCAAATTACATTCTTATATTATTTCTTTCCTCGATGTCTTCCTAAACAGAAAGCATCACTAATTCAATAACAGGTCACTCATGAATGGAGATTTTTCTTTTTCTCCCCCATGAAAGCAGCAGAATATTACGATTTTAATATTAGAGTGAAACCCATTTGTTATTCTATCTATTACACCTTCTCCATTCTTTTATAGAGCAAGCTAGTTGACAGTAATTTGGCAAAAAGAAATTTAAGTCAACAACAAGAAGAGCTGGGCTTCGGTTTCCGATGAAGGTTTACAGTATCTGTTTGAATAAAGTGATCTGATCTATCTTCAGAGGCTAGAACTCTTCTAACAGCTTCTTCAAAGGCTGCTGCAACGTTGGTGGCATCTTTTGCACTGGTTTCAAAATAGGGATAGTTGCCATTATTCCTGCACCAGTCTTGGGCTTCTTCTGTAGATACTTGCCTTTCATCGATATCAACTTTGTTACCCAGTATCACAAATGGAAAACTTTCAGGCTCCTTGACATCTGCATAATAAATGAATTCTTTCTTCCAGTTGCTTAAGTTTTGGAAGCTTTGAGAGTCATCCACACTGAAGGTTAGCAGGCAACAGTCAGAACCTCTGTAGAAAGGAGTCCGCAAGCTCCTAAACCGTTCCTGACCTGCTGTGTCCCATATCTGCATTGTAACAAAATGTCCATCGACTTCCAACTCTTTGTTTAAGAATTCCACACCTATTGTATGAAACAGCTGTGCATCAAACTTGTTGGTGACATATCTGTTCATGAGGGAACTCTTCCCAACTCCACCATCTCCTAGCAGTATTACTTTAAGGAGTGATGATTTTGTTGCCATCGTTACAGGAAAAGATCCTCCTGTTTTTTCTAGACCTGTAAAGATTAAGGAAATCATTAAAAATGAAAATAGTTGTGAGCACCAAATTTTGCACATGTAAATATCTAGAATGTGTTTTACATTCCACCAACCTCAAGTTTCATGTACAAAAAGAGAATTCCACTAAACAGGTGAACTGTAGATACACTCCAGTAAGAGTACCCACTCAAGAATATCAAATTAAAGAGGCTTCTCTTTCACAGACCACAGACTGCAGTTTGCATCAAAGCAATATGCTGCAGGAATTAATGGTCTGTCACTTAAACTATTTTAAACTCCCAAATCCTTCAAACCACCCCCCACTTTGTACTGAAGGGTTATCACATCATATTCGGCAAGTGCTGTAATTCATTTATGTTCACTGGAAAAGGTTCATGGAAAAAAGCAGAGTGAGAGAATTTTATAGAGCATGTGCCTTGAACTAGTCACTTCAGTGCTGTATTTTATTACCAAAGTTATTTTTTAAACCAAAGCACTATGAATACAGTTATCTATGGAACTAACGCAAATGCTGTCATTTTATTTAGATGAGCAATCAATAGTTTATAGTTTACTCCCTGCAGAACAGCATTGATGAATGGAATACTGTAAAAACTACCACAAAAGAAAATTTACTGTTACTACTTCAACGATACTCAAAATGCTTCAAAATGCCACATACCGAGCAATGACAGTTCAGTCAGGAGGTGTCAACTTCCCATAGTAAAACTGTCAAAAATTCTGGAAGTGCTAGTGAATAGTCTGGCTGCCAGCATGGGGATGGCAAATTAGTGACACCAAAAGCTTTTTAACTCTTAAGACTTAGAAAGAAATTTTAAAAAAATCCTTTAGCATTAAAGTAGTTTGCTCATTAGTGCTTTGTACCCAACCTTTGCCCTCACAACTAGCAGTGTCATCTAATACTGTAAAATGATGTTTTAATTGCTTGGGGGTAAAGTTTCATTTTATCAAGCCCAAACTGAAGTTTCTGTATGAGAACTATTTTCCTAAACCTACCTGATAGTTTGGGCTTCAGCCCCAACAGGCTTCTCTGAAAACAGCAGCTATTTAAAATGGAAATGGGTCATAAGTTGCCAAGTCCCTCTCTTTCTTTGAAGGAAGGAATGTGGTCTTGCTAGTTGTAATTAGCATTACTGGCATATACATCACCCACACTGTGGCTGTAGAATTAGTACCTGATACAAGCTGGCGTGAGAGTCATATGACTCTGTGCTGCCTTACAATCAAAGCCTACAGTAGGAGCAAGAAATTTCAGGAATTTTTTTTATTAGTGACTTTCCATCTTTGAATATTTACTTGCTAGACACAATCTACAGTAAGACAAAAAGAGTAGTTTGAAACCTCAACACAAAAAAAAAGTCAAAATACAAGGAACTGACTGCTTCCACTAACAATTTTTTCAGAGCAAATAATTTAATTCATTCATACTGCATAACTAACAACGTTTATAAAGCCTTGATTCTGTACAGGTTTGTATGATAATAAAACTTCTTAGAGGCTACAAGAAGATAGTTCATTTACCCTTCAGAGAGCTACAGGACATGGCTATGGCTCAGGTTATGATCACATACATTTCAGTGCATGTGAAAAGCCTCATTAGAGTCACTGGACTACTTGCATAAGAGTTGCAGGTTTATATGCTTAACTCTCAAAATGGTCCAGTGTGTTTATTTATGTCTCCAGTTTCTACATCAATAGATAGGAACTGCTTCTTAATAAATAATGCTTTCATGGGAACAGAGGGTACTGAATGTTCTCCTGTTCTTTCCTACCAGTGCAGGGAACAAGTTATAATTTATTTTTCCAGTCCTGCAGAAATCGGAAGTTCCGTGAAAGACGAATGTGCATAAATAACTGGCTTAAGTAGTTCTGACTGGTACTATGCACTCGTTTCTTTAGCATCTGCATTTTTGTCAAAGGCAGTTATTATCATGAAATTGTCCACAAGGCCACATTTTAAACAAAATACAAGTAAGGAAAGTGTTAACAGTACCTATTACTTTGTGCATCTAGAATCTGCTAAATTAATTTGCACAATTTCAACTATGTGGGTCATTCCAGTCAGGTCTAAGAGACCGATGACCATAAAATTAGTTTTACTGGGCAGACAATTACAGACCAACCACAAACTATTAAAAGTGGACCAAACTGGTCCTTTCACACAAAAGCTACAGAAAGAGTCTTCCGTGATATTGCAGGCAATGTTGCTTTCGGTTTTTGCTTCGGTGCTTTTCGGACATTCAGTTTCCACAGCTGCCATGCTAGGCTAGAGTTAAGTTTCTGTGAAGTTTTTAATTCAAAATAAAGGCATATACATTCAGTCATTTAAATAGATACTGACAAGCTGTATCTGAAACACCAAAGAAGCATGTTTGAAAGTATTAAGTATTTTTGTTTGAAAGCAGCTAAAACTTTATACATTTACAGCTTTATTACTACATAAGGGACTCATCTGCAGCCACAACTGATAATGTCATTTAGAGTATCTGCTGAATCAGAGTTGTATTTTTCAGAACAGCAGACCGCTGCATTTATTTTCTGATTGTACATCTTTAAATAAGTTAAGATTTTTAAATGACTCAATTTTTGTAATTGTTTTTTCTAAAGTTATGAAGCCTTAACACTCCAAACAAATAATACAATAATAAAATACTTAAGACACTACAAGAATTTATATTATTTCTCCTATTATACACTTTATCTGTACAATGTATGTTTTCACAGTGTTTTTGGAAGGGATGGTTAACATACCATATGATGTTTCTGAAAATTTACTACATCAATTTTTCAGTTTAAATCATCATTCATGATCTGAAAACAAAACAAAAGCCTAATTCCTAATGTGCATCTGATTGTTTTACCCAGCATCAGGAATCACAAGACAGTACAGAATTACATCTAACTGTTTGCTATAGTTATTTCTTGGTGAGCTACACAATTAGTTAATGTAAGAGTAATCTCAACCTAGTAGACAAAGGGTCTGTAACAAGAATAATTTTCCTCATGTTCTTCAATCATTTCAATATTCAAAGAAAGCAAATAAAAAGCAGCCCCACTCTGGTTCATTTTGATAACCATTTCTGAATTGCTTCCCCTAACTTAAAAGGATTACAGTGCTTAAATCACTGACTTCAATATTCCTGTTAAAAGCAGGGAATGTTTTCTACTAAATGTAATTTATGACATGATCATATACCATAACACAAAAAAGTAAATTAATTGTTGCCTTTCAGTATGTCCCTTTTAAACAGTAAAATGAATTGCAAGTCAACTATTTCCACTATCAGTCCAAATATTTGCTGTCACAACGAAAGACAAACAGCTAAGCAGCCTCAGAAAAATCAGTTTGCATTACAAAATCCAGTCCTGCAAAGCTTAATGAAATACCATGGCCTTGTCCAGTCTATCCATCTAGATTGTGTTACTTCCATATGTCAGCTTAATATCTCTGTTTTGAGTGCAAATACCTCTCTTGCATAAATACTGAGGCAGCACTCAAAGAAAAGCAAGATTCTTGGTCTAGAAAACCATAGCAGCAACATGTAAACTTAAGTCTAGGAATTTGTTCTTTTTTTACTATAAAAATAATTTCACAGATTAAGGAGGACCCACTCACACCAGTGTACTGAAGGCTGAAGACAAATGCTGAACTCAAGTTTTATGGAAAAACAGTGCTAGTCAACACAGTGACTGCATTGCATCTATAATGTCAGCAAGCTGCAAACCCCATGTAAACTATTAATCAAACCAAGGCAATTTGACCTATTTACAGTTTCATTTTTCCCATGCTGATACCAGCCACTGCAGCACACCATTAAAACCCAAAAAAAAAAAAAAAAAACCAAACAAAACACAACCAAAACAAAAAAAACCCCACCAAACAAACCCACTGAAATCTCACCTCCACTCCCCATTTTTAATAGGGCACCAAAACCTGGACCTACTGTAATACCACCACTGAACTGCCTTAGCATTTTTGAAGAAACAGATGTAAGGGACACTTAAAATTTCCAGACAATTGCTTCTCCACTTGTATTACTTTCTAACTTGGAAACAGGCGAGAAAATTTGTTTCAGTTATCACTGTCATTCAGTAGTCGCTTGATGAATCACCTGCTAGACAAAACCAAGACTAAACCTAAAGGTTTTCTTGAGGATATATAGTACACTGCTCTTTAAATGAAGCTGTTAAACATGAAACAGTCTCAAGTTTGTTCCCATCATGTAAGTAATCATGTTTACTTACAACCTAATATGCCATCAGCCAAAAAGGGTTCATCTTTGATTTTAAAAAAAGACAAAGTTATGGACAAGCAGAATTAGTAATTCTACAAGCATAACATTGACCATGTTTCACAACTTCCTATTCTCAAATTTACACATATAAGCAAATCCATTTCAGCTTATTCACAATTTTACTTACTAAGCCACCATATTTTGTTAAGCCACTGGTATCAAATTAGAAGTTTTAAAAGGCACACCACTGCAAGTATTTTGACTGAAAAAACCACTTGCCTTTCAATAGAAATGTAAACTCCCTCCCTCATTAGTAATTGGGGTTTTTTCACAGAAACAAAGCATTTGACAATAATTGCCAGGCTAGCATAGAAAATGTAGTTTGTTAGTTACAGCAGCCCATCAAAGAATGACATTAATTGCTTCTCTGTGTAATGTCTGAAAAGAAGCCCCAAAAAACAAGAGTTGCAGCAGAAAGGGCAGAATCCAAAACTACATAGTTTTCAACACTTACTGTTTGTGGAGGATTTACATTTCTCAGCCCCCAATCACTACAGTGGTTAAACTTGTTGCCTATAGCAGATCTGCAAGTTTCCAAAAATCTGAAAAGAAAGGACAGAAGCATGTTTTCTCACTTTTCTCCCCTTAGCTAATCCTTGTTCTTATATTTGGGAGGTAGTGGTTTATACCCTGGTCAATTAAGCGGCAGAAGATTACTTTTTAGTGCATAAGAGGCCACAAACATGTTTGACATTGAAAGACTTCTTTCTCAATTGAAAGGAAAATAACCAGATATGAAGCCAAGATGCTACAGGCTTTGTACTCCTGAGTGTGTTACAAGCAGAGACATTAGTCAGCCTCCAAAGTGACCCTCCCCTCCATGGGGCACTGACGTAAGAGCTGAGGATCAGGAACACCCCTTTAGTGACAGTCACTTGTCAGCTGCCTCAAAGCCCTTCAGTCACACAGCTCGACCTACCAAAGTCCTAATCTCCTCACAAGTCTTCCTTCCTGTACCTCTGATTTCACCACTGCACTATGAAGATAATCTGTCAGCAAATTATTAAACATCTATCCAAAAGAAAATGCAGACTATTTGAAATTGCCTCTAGTTGTAAGCAGTCTTAACCTAACACCAGCATATCAACTGAATTTACTTGTAATTTCTTATATGAACCCAACCCAAAATGAACTGTCACTCAGCTGTTGCCACTCATTTGGATACCAAAAGAGTTTTATTTGGGGGTTTCTTTGTAAGGCTGTTTTTGACTCCTCTGAAGCTCAGGATTCTAGTTCAGTTGTCTGGCATGATTCAGGACTATGAAAGAACCAGTGGGCAAGGGAAGAAATCCTGAAGTTCACATAACCCTTGGATCATTAAATCATTTCAGTACCCACTGCCAGAATCACTTCATTTATTCCAACTTCTAGCTAGACACAAAGACAATTAGCAAAATTTGTCAGGAGAAACACCTACATTTATATCTCTGCCAGTTTAATCTTGCATAAGCCTAACCTTCACCTCCAACCTCATTCTCAAATTCAAGTAAAACGAGCAAACTTATTTATTCCAATTTAATCAGAGTTGACATTTCTCAGCAGTCCACAGTTAAACATCTTCCAGTTTAAATATTCTATTACTTTCAGCCAATTTCAAAGCACCCTTCGGTGCTGCTGCTCCTGGTCCAACATCGCTAACAATGCCTGAGCTATTTGACATTCTCCCTGCAACCTACTTCTCTGTTACTGCTCCCACTCTTTCAATATCCAGCAATTATTTCTGCCCAAATGTGCTCATCTTTCTCCCTTGCATTAGTTTTCCTTCAGGGAATCTTAGTAATAGCAGCTCTATTGGTTCAAGGCTACCTCGTACATTCATATTCTTCCCAGTGTTGTGACAAAAGCCCATCCCCAAGGCATTAAGTGGGTTACACTGTACCAGGCCAACACACTTTCTGCTCTGCTCAGAAGGAAAACAAACAAAACACAATGGAGAATGAACACTATTAACAAAAAAAACAAACAACAAAACGACAAACCTTAAGGACTTCTTACAAGCCTTTTTGCTGGGAAGCCTTTATTCATTGTGAAACATTTATGTAAAATTCCAATCTTAAGGAGCTGGAAGATCTGTTTCCCATAATTTATTACCAAATTGGCACAAAATAAAGACTGAAATTTAAATATCTTATTTGACCCTCTGCAATTCTTTTTTAACACATATTTTCAATTTAAGCAAACTGATGGTGTTTGAGCACTCAAAAGTAAAACAAGGACTGCTAGAGCAGGGGTTTTTTTGAGTTTGGTTTGTTTTTGTTGTTTTTTTTTAATGCCCACTGTCTCTTTTTAACTTTATGGAAGAGCCCTTACTAAAATTATGACAGCGCCATACAACCTGAATGAAGACAGAGAAAAGTAACAGTTCATTATAAATTTGATGGTATGAAACACAGAGCTGTATCATCCTTTGATTAGGTTTCTCTGAAAATAAAAGTGCTAAGAAAAAAATGTTTTGGATTTATTTTGGGTATGTGTGCTCTCCCTCCAGTCTGCCATTACAGCTTGTTACCTTCAAAGCTATTCAAAGTAATGGAAAAACACTCTGAAAAAAACAAACAAAACAAAAAAACCCAAACCAAAACCCAGTCACACATAGCCACCCTTGCTCTAAAAAAAGCTAGCACTGACAACTTCAGTGTTGCACAACACGTTAAAAGTAAAGACAAATAAAACCCACATGCTTATTTAGTGTAGCTGTAAATTATTATGGACAAGAAGGAAAACAACATGCAGGACGGGAGGCTGCACGACGGCTATCTGCAGACAAGCATTTCAATTCCTGAACAAAACTTAGCCAAGAAGCTCCTACTTAATCGTCCCACCCAAGGTAATAGAACTTAAATGCTCTCCACGTATCTAGTTACACGTAACCTGCTATAAAGGCACTAATGAAGGATTTTAAAACTGTATTTCTTGCACTATATTTCCTGCTATGCACTAAATTGTTCTGAACAAGTTACATGTAACACGGATTTCCTTGGACCGAGAGCAGCCCATTAAGCACGTAAGCGATTCCCAGTCCCGGCCCATCCCATCCCATCCCACACCCGGCCCGCAGAGGCACCTGCCGGCCCGGGAGCTGCCCCGGCCCGCAGCGCGGCCGAGCCCAGACACCGCTTCCAAAAGGAGAACTGAAAGCCAAGGGCGCGCTGGGCAGGCGGGCCCTCTCCCGCACAGAGCCCACGGGGCTGGAAAAGACCTCCGAGATCACCGAGGCCAACCCTCGGCCGAGCAGCTCCCTGCGGCAGCCCAGGGCCCCGGGCGCGCGTCCAGCCCTTCCTCAGACACCGCCAGGGACGAGCCCGCACCGCACCCGGGCAGCCGCTCCGAGCAGCAGCAGCCAGGAAAGGGGATCAAAGGAGCCTCAATACTCCTTCCGTTCCCAGTCTGAGGCGTGTTGCGGACACAGGCACGAAGCGAGTTTCGCCCTGACAGAGCGGCGATGTCTCTCAGGCGTGAGGAAGCGCGCCGGGGTCGCGACCGGCCACACGCCAGCTGGAGCCGCTTCCCAAAGGAGCGCCGCCTGCCCCGGAGTCACGGGATCCCGGATCACGCCACATTCCCCGCCACCCGCACGGCTCTGGGGAGCGCCCGGGGCCCCCTCCCTCCGCGGGCCCGGCCGGGGCTGCCTCCCGCTCCCCGGCGGCTGCGCCAGGAACACCGGGGAGCGCGCCGGGCATCTCGGACAGCGGCGGGGAGCGGGCGGGGAACGCGCCAACAAGGGAAAGGAAAACAACGCAACCTGACTCGGCTCCAGACCGCGGGAAGGGAAGTGCCGCCGCTGCCGGGCGCGCTGGGGAGGCCGATCCCTGCCCGCGGGAAGGGGCTGGGGCCGCTCCTGCCGCCGGTGCCGGTCCCGGGCTGCGCCACCGCCGCCGGGCGCTGCGGAAGGAACGAACATGGCGGACAGGCCGGGGGCGGGGCCGGGCACCACGTGAGGCGGGGGCCGCCCACCGGCCCCGCCCACCGGGCAGAGGCCACGCCCCGACGGGAACGGGGGAATCGCTCAGCCCGAGCTGCGGGACCAGCGGGAACGGCGGGAACAGCGGGAACAACGGGACACCCGCACACCCGCACACCCGCAACAGGGATAACGGGAAACACCGTGCCCACAGCCACACAGCGCCGGCAAGGCGCGTCGAGGGCCATCTCTCAGCGATCACTACCGTGCGCCGCCTCAGAGCGCTCCCCTGGGAGGAAAAAAAAAAAAAACAAAACACTTTTACTTGCTCTAGAATGCCCTGCATTATTAAGCCCGAAAATGCCTTTATAAAGTATTTGCCGGTCAGAGTTATTTATTGAAGGCAGTAACCTCACGGTGCTCCACACTAAGGGCCCCGGGTATGCAAACTCACAATTGTAAGACAGCTTCACTTCAAAAGTAGAAACATTTAAAGTGTCAATGAAGGAATTCATCAAAATACAAAGCATGCTATTTTTAAAAATTAGCCAGGCACTTTTTTTCCTGTAGCAATCCAGAATAAAACCAACTTGACCAACTGATAGGGAAAAAAGCTAAAGGAGACAATAAGAGTCTTTTCTGTGCTCTTACAACCTCCTCACGAGGGCAAAGTATAATTAAAATTAAAAAAAAAAAATCAAAGAGGTTCCCACACCATCAGGAGGAATAGGTGATGACAGGCATAAGTACACCCATTTGCTCAAGCAGTCATCACATGCTCTGATCATAAGGCAGATGCAACCAGACTGGAATTGCCACTTGTGGAGTCGTCTTGTTTTGGATCAGACAGCAACATGGCCCAAGGAATGGAAAAGATCTCAGTATCATCAAAAGGAGATGTCTCCTACTGACACGAACAGGATTATCAAAAGGCAAGCCATGCTAGAGGCAAATTTGATGATACCAGACCCACTTTTATCTAACAAAGCTGGACTTCAAAAATTTTTAAGTGCTTTTTTCCTGGAATCTGCTTTCATCTAATTCTAGAATAAAAGACAAGCAATTGCTGGAGGGGTAGGAAAGTGGGCTTTAAATTATGGTAATTCTAAGGTATATAAGCTATGATCAGTTATAAATCATTATTTTATGATTTATACAGAAGAAAAACTGCATTTAGAAATGGAGGAAATCATTATTTTGCACTTAATATCTTTTGGGGAGAAGCTACCATGTTTTTGTTTTGAAACAACACTGGATTATGTTTTGAAACACATTGGATACATGTGAGGAAATTTAAAATTGCAGGATAGTTTGGCTTGGAAAGGACCTTTCCACATCATCTAGTCCAATCACGCTGCAATGCACAGGGACATCTTCAACTAGATCAGATTGCTCAGAGCCCTCAATTTGGGTAACCTGGTACAAGGTTTCATCACCCTTGCTGTAAAAAAAATGAATTCCTAGCCTGAATATAGTCAGTCTGTCCAGTCTGGATCTTTACTCTTTTCTCATCCTACTGGAACAGGCTCTGCTAAAAAGTCTGTCCCCATCTTTCATATAAGCTCCTTTTTATGTCCTGGAAGGCTTCAATGAGGTTCTTACAGTCTTCTCCAGGCAGAACCACCCTTGCTATCTCACCCTTTCCCCACAGAAGAGGAGCTCCAGCCCTCTGATCATCTTGGTGGCCTCCTCTGGACCTGCTCCAACAGGTCCATGTCCTTCCTGTGCTGGAGACCCCAGAGCTGGATGCAGGACTGCAGGTGGAGTCTCATGAGCGCAAAGTAGAGGAGCAGAACAACCGTCCTCAACCTGCTGCTCATGCTGCTTTCGATTCTTTCTGGGCTGCAAGTTCACATTGCCAGCTCATGTCCAGCCTCTGATCCATTAGCACCCCCAGGTCCTTCTCCTCAGGGCTGTTGTCAATCCATTCAACTCCCAGCCTGGACTGACAGCAGGGGTTGCCCTGACCCCGGTACAGCATCTTGTACTTGGCCTCATTGATCCTCATGAGGATCCACTTGAACCCAGCTCTTCGTCTTGTCCAGATACATCATTTTTTCAAGTCCTATTAAGAAACAAAATTCTTGAACTTCTCAGATAGGATGTATTTTTATTTCCTTTACATGGGAACATATAAGAAAATAGAAAAGAACCATGGTGTAACCATGGCTACTACGCTTATGATTTTAGGCACAATGGAGCATCGTAGGGTTACTCTCATGGTTAATACACGCGCATGAGTGCTTGAGGATCAGGAACTGAAGGCCCTTTTCCTTGTATCCACCCTGTTACATACTATATATGTAACAAACATATATAGTATGTAACAGAGTATATACATATATAGTATGTAATAGTTGCTAAAGAACAACACGAATTTTAGAACAAATAATGGGGCTGGTCACATGAAGCACACCTGCCAGTCCTGAGGTCAGACAGAAGAACACGCCCAGTTAGGAACAGTTTGAAACAAGTGCACCAAAATCACTCCTGTTAATCATTCTGCAGACAGGCAGGGTCCCAATGGAGGTCTCTGTCTGACCATCCCAGTGTGGGGGAGCAGGGCTGGGGCAGAGCCCCGTTTTGGCTCAGGCACTGTACAAGCCTGGTGGCCCCATTCCTGCACCCCACCTTGTGCTCCAATCTCCGTCCAACAGCACATCCCCAGGCTTACCTGCTTCCCACTGGAGTTTTGGCAGATCCTTGTCACCAGACCTGCCTTGCTCTTGTTTGGGTGCTGCCAGACAGTGACCCTTACAACTGAAGCCACTGTCCCTGCATGCCTTGTCACCCACCATCCTCCCCTGGCTCGCCTCCCCCTGTGCAGCAACCCACCCTTGCTGCTCCCTCACATGCACCTTCATCTGAAAGCTGACTTTGCACTTTGGGGATTTTTGTTCACAGAGGTGTATTCATGCTGTTATGCCATGTCAGAGAGAACAGCACAAAAAACATCCAATGGCAAATAAAGGGCAACTTTTTGTGAGTAGGAGGAAGTTCTGTATCAGCAAAGCTCTCTTACAATAAGAGCTTGTGAATAATACTTTTTACTATCTGTAGCTGGCAAGGAGACTATGTCCCATCCTGGCAAGAGATGACATGGCCTCAATAAAACATGACTTTGTCACCTCTTGGCTGAATTACAACAGCACAAAATAGGGGGATATGAAGTCATTTATGGCTCTTTTAAAACCAGAATGCAGCAAGCCAGCTCCCAAGCAATCCAAGAAATTATCAAAGTGCTCTTGTTTCTTTCCTTATCTTCCAGGCAGTCAGTGAATTGGACCATTACATCCTGAAGATTCCCTGAAGGACTGTAATATTTGCTCTTTAACCACAGCCTGTTACCAGCTAACTTTCCTTCTTGGCACAAAAAAAAGAGCTAGTTTTTGTTTAAAGAGCCGCAGTTCTTTGCTTTAGTAGCAAATGTAGATAGCACAGCAGACAGAAAGGAATACACTTTAAATGAAAAATAAACAGCAAAAATTTCCTTTTGGTTTTGAAAAGAAGAGTTATCAACAACAAATGGCAGCTGAGTAACTCCCCCAAAAAAGTGAACAGTAAGAGGGATATGACAGAGATAGAAAAGGCACTCAGCAGAACAGATGGAAGTGGATCTGGCAGGGGATCTCCAGGAACCAGAAGGAGTTTTGTTATTGTTGTTAAGGGAGCGACAATGACTACAATTAATAGAGCATTTCAGATACAGAATAGCATCCTTGTTTTTCACATTGAAAATTGTGTGAAATTCATTGTTAATTCAGTTCTCATCTTCTTGAAATATGTATCACAAGTTCTGCAGCTACAAGCTGCTTGATATTTGAGAGCAATTTATGTTTAAGACCTTATTGCTGCTGTTAAATCACAGGATTCAAGGAGTTGAATTTACAGCATTTCTGGAAAACCCCATGGAGACAAATACAGACTTTAGCCTGGTTAAGCATATATTTGTCCTATGTTTGTGGGGATCACATCTACCAACACACTCCTTGTAGGAGTAGCAGCACAGACATGCTAAACATCATACCCACATTAATGGTCTCTGCTTAAAAAAGTTCAGAGATCTTTTTCTCACCCAGAATGAACTTAAAAAAAAAAAAGACATCAACAGTATAAAAGAATCTCATGTTTCAAAGCTTTTCCTTTGTTTCTGGATTCTACTTCCTGTACTCCAGTGCTCTACACCCTCCTGCTCTTGTACACACTATGTAGTTGCAAGTTTTCTTTTTAAAGACATCTTGAGACAAAGCATATAATATAGCATATAGTCTTAGCCAGACAAATATTTCATACCTGCACAGTTACACATTTAGTGATGGGCAGTTCAAAAGAAAATGATATTACATGTTATGTCACAAATGTAGTCAGTGTTACAGATACAAATTTTACCCTTGAAATATATTCTGTCAGAAACACCCTCCATGCCTTGTAATATTTCCCTTTTCCAAGATAAAACTTGGATGAGCTTTACACTACTGGAATGGCTTCAAAACCAACTGCAGGCAGAAATTATTTATAAGTTGTTCAGAGCTAAAATAAAATCTTCTGCTACATGGTGTTCTGACACAGCACAATGCTGGATAAAGCTCTCCTCAACAGGACCATGACCTTCAAAATGACTGCACACAATCCTGTGCTTGCTGTGATCCACTAACACAGGAGTGTTTGCTTTCCTGTAGTTTCACTGAAAGCTAACAATAATACTTTGCACAAAAGTACTGTCACTTAGGCAGGACTACTCATAAGCATCAATTCCAGCACACAAGTAAGGGCTGGGAAGGAAGGCCAGATA